ATCGAGTTTTCAAATTAGAGTTGTGTGTAATAATTGTTCCGGTAGAACCTCGTTGAAAAGGGTAAAATTTTGCGTGTACTAACATCGAAAAGAGTTGATGTTCTCATGATTACAATCATTTGTCGTCACTTATCATATAGACTCGCTCGCTTACAAGGTTAAAATTTGGTTCTATTAAGGTATCCATCCTTATATGATCACGTAGGAATATACGTACATATCACTGAACTAAGCGGGATCAACAGTTAACCCAAATGATGCTATGCTTTCAGCCATGTAAACGTAAAGTTCGATTCGAGATTCCAGACAAATTTATCAGTGGTGGTAAATCGGTGAAAAAATGGTATGAGGTGGGTAGTTTGGATATGGAACGCGTTTATGCGAATGAGCAGCGTAGTTGCACCCTTAAGCGATCATGACTTGACTGGAGTAGTCTTCAATGAACAATTGTTGCGACGTTATGCTTACACTTCGCTGAATTCATTGCATTCTCCCAAATGATTAGGGAGACGAATTCATGCGAAACGCTCAAACTATCACCTGTGATGTCCCATAAATATTCATCGGTTTTCAACTGATCTTCATTGTGAAACAATATTGCAGTAAAGTTCCCCACTCAATGACTGATCAATCCATTCTGGTTAATGGCGCCCGTCAATATATCGTCAATATATAGTGAATTGGTTAATTGGCGATATATTGACGGGCGCAGAATGGCGCCCGTCAATATATCGCCAATTAACCAATTCACATGCATTTTGCAGTTGCAACTCAATGAATCAGTCCCTCATTCGGTGTTTAAACGATGCATACGCAAACAAATTCTTCATCTGCCGTTTTTCATTGCACTGTTCATTCCCTCAAAAAGCTCTTTACTAAATCGTAGAGCATAACAGCACCAGCCAGCACTAGTTTATTTAGCATTTGTTGGTTTTTTAGTGGTATGACTAATCGATAAGCATCTATCTTCTCAAGCCGAATTGTTGTTTGTTATTCTTTCGTATTCACACGTAAAGCATTCACTGAGTGACGGATTCGTTACTGCCTAAGAGCAAATGTCTTGAAATACAAAAAAAGAAAACAGCAGCGGATATCGACGTATCAAATATCAATTGAAAAAAAATAGGCATAACGCTATTCAGAGTCCATTCAGTTTTCTATCAACCCAGCAGGCACTGCTATCCATCTCTGCCGTTTTAATGAAGCAGTCAGCTTCCAATTGCATTCATATGTTGTTTTATGCTACAGCTGTGATGTTGAACAACTGTTGTTAGTACGCAGAAAAAACACTTGAAATGATATACATCCCAGATTTGACATACCCTTTAATATATGCCAGATTGAGCGATATCCGCAGGGGTATATGCAGGCATCCGTTAAGTTTGCTTTTTTTGGATAACTTTCAGCAGTACGAAAATATTACTGATATCGAATAAGTAACCTACTGTAACTTGTAACCCGTTACTGTAACCTCGATATCGAATGTTACTGGTAAACATCACCTTACTTTTATCACTGCCAGTAATAATGAATTACTCAACTCCATCTGCTGAATACCCGAAATCAATCGATCGCTATGTTCTCTCTCCTTCGACAATCGTTGAAATGTTATCGGTAATCAGCGTCTAAACACCACAAAAAACATAATTGATAACTGGACATCAATTATAACATGTTATCACCANCTTATCAATCCTAAAATGTATCAATCGATACTAAATTTTTTCTGTTCTTTCATAGCGATAACAATACTAAATAAGATTTACTGTTCAACTGAATACGTGTAAATATGAATAAAAATATACGATTTATTATAGTTGCTGGTAAGCAATGTTATAATAATAGAAATTTGCCTAACAATGAGACGGAAAGAAGTTTACATGGTGGATGATAACAGTTTCAGGGTGAATCAGTCATGCGAGATGACTGATGATGCATTCGATCAAGCGATTGATACATCCACACTCTGACTGACTGATGATAAAGAATGTAGAAATAACGATAAGAGCTCTGACAATAATAATGAAAATGAAAATAAAGCACAATCCAATATCTGCTCACTCGGATACAAATGTCGCAAAATGTTCAAAATGAAATCTCAACTTACAACGTTTCTTCGAACGAGATGGACTAACGGATGATAGATCGACAAATTAACAAAATGAAAACGAATAACCACAACGAACAACTATTAACAGTTCTTCCCATTCAAATTCTTCGACTAATATCACAAACAATCTCAAAAGAAAAGTTCGTGCGAACGAATCAACTATTAACAGCAGCAATAACTGATTAATCATCCATTCAACATCAATAATCACCCAATTAATCACCAAAACATAAACACATCCAATAAAATCCAACCGGTCATCACACTATCACTGTTGAGCATTATGCAACTGCTTTAATCAATTTCGTTCACCAATCATAAGCCAATACATTATCACTGTT